CTCTAGTCTCTCTCTATGGTGTCTCTCTCTCTCTCTCTGGACATTCAAGAAATACAAATTAAATTCTGAGTTGTTTTTAAAATCACATTGCTTTACATAGATACTGCTTCGATACTGTCACTGCACATTCGCCAATGGACTTTCATGAGTGGATCGAAGCTCATTCTTTCACTCGATTCCATGCTGCAATAGCCAGAGCTCACAGAAGAATGCATTGAATGTTTCTCTAATAACTCAGGTCCATTAGCGACTGCAGAGCTGGGGCGTTAATGTGGTAAGGTTCGCAATAATTGAGCTAAATCAATAGATGTTTTTGACACTGCACTTCCCCTTTGGCGTCGCGAGTGAATGTTTCGTTTGGAAGGAGCTGATGCGATGATGACACAGCATTGAAATAACATCATGACGTAAATATGTTCTTCTCGCAGGCTGAGAGTGGAAACGTAGACAGCAGCGAAATATGTGTAAAGTCAATACTCTATTACTGCTATCTATAGAAGCAGTAAACTGAAGCACACAAACCGCACTGTCGGAGAAACTGAACCAGGTTATTGTGTTTTATAAGCACTGATCTTGCATAGTTTCTCTGGTCTATCTCTCTAGTCTCTCTTTCTCTGTGTTCTTTCTCTGGTCTCTCTCTCTCTGTTCTCTCTCTGGCCTCTCTATCTGGAATCTTGCTGGTCTCTCTCTGGTCTCTCTCTCTGATCTCTCTCTGGTCTCTCTCTCTCTGTTCCCTCCCTGGCCTCTCTCTCGGTTCTCTCCCTGGCATCTCTCTTTGTTCTCTTCCTGGTCTCTCTCTCTGGTCTCTCCCACTGGTCTCTCCCGCTGATCTCTCTCTGGTCTCTCTCTGATCTCTTTCTGGTCTCTCTCTCTGTTCCCTCCCTGGCCTCTCTCTCTGGTCTCTCTCTGGTCTTTCTGCTCTCTCTCTCTCTCTCTCTCTCTTTCTCTCTCTGGTGTCTTGCTGGTCTCTCTCTGGTCTCTTGTCTAGTAGTCCCTCTCTGGCTTCTCTCTCTGGTCGCTCTCTCTCTGGTCGCTCTCTCTCTCTCACTCTCTGGTCGCTCACTCTCTGGTCGCTCACTCTCTGGTCGCTCACTCTCTGGTCGCTCTCTCTCTGGCCTCTCTCTCTCTGGTCGCTCTCTCTCTGGCCTCTCTCTCTATCCTACCCAGCTTTTTTGACGCCTTCAGCCATTGCTGCTGCAGTGATTGAGAATTGAGTGTTTTTGAGTGATGGAATGGTTGGGTGTGATTGAGAGAAAGCTCAGTAATGATCAGTAAAGGTCACGCTCCCACAGAGGAACGCCACAGTTTGGGACAGTGACAAGCAGCACGTCCAAAAGTGACGGAACTGAATGAGAAAATACTGCTTTTTGTAAAACACTGTGTCAAAGTATAATTTGTCTCCAGCAGGCTGCTACAGCGGTATAACAAAAAAAAAATTCTCTCCACACGGTGATGACAATTTTTTTTGAATTTCCTTTATATATCATCGAATGTTTGGATAAGAATTTTCAGTTAGATACAACATGTAGGAGATGAACACAGTGATATTTGAAAAGTGAAATAAAGAGTTTATCATTCATAGAAAGTGCGCAAGTGTAGTGAGCTGGCATAAGCTCCCTAGTGAAAGTAGGGGGCGCAGTATAAAAGCCTGTCAATTGCGCTACCTTGCCTCTCCTCTATCCAACGTCACATCCGCTGCACGGGGCTCGGAGCGAGGCAGGCTAGTTGGGAGGTTGCTATGGGTCGTGTCGGGGCGTCAAGCCGGCGGCTGAGGCTTAAGGCCAGCAACTGGGTGGTGCCCAACTTTACTGCGTCGCTGGTAAGCTCCGCTCGTAGCTTTTAATTGCGCCGCTGGTCGGCTGCGTCACTAATTTAACTATTGTTTTTAGCATTGTGCGTGTTGGCCCGGCTGCCGCATAGCTGAGCATGGTCAGAGGCTCGGGGTCTCGGTATGGTGCGGGGAACGCTACACTTTGCTTTCTGGTATGTTTTGTTTTAATCTTTTGTCTGTCTTTTGTTTCAATGTAGTACATGTTTTATTTCAGTGTCAATGTTTTAATGTTGTAGGGTGCTGGCGGCGTGCCCGCCTCCCCTTCTTCTTGTTTGGACGAAATCTGCAGACGAGTCGTCTGTTTTTAAGAACTATGAATGATGCTGCTTAACTATGGACAATGACCGAGAGACTGTGGTCAGTGCGCAGACGTGCGCCCTGCGGAATCAAGATACGGAAACAAAGAACTGATGTACAGAACTTATTTATTACCACAAGCTGCTCTATTAAAAACTAAACGAGTATTGTTAAACTTCTGCCTCTGTCCAGTCAATTTAAACTTACCTGTGTGCCTTAGATCAGAGAACCAATTAAGGACATTGTTGGGTATCATATGCCCTGGCGTTGCTGGTTATACATGTCCGCTCCGTATTGCCACATTTGGCGTCCGCTGGCAGGATTAATTGCATAAGGACATTGGCAGAAGTTCTGAATTAAATGTGTAGTAATGTATCAATTTGGGTGGTAGGCTATTCCAACGTGGTCCTAGAAGGTCTGCGGTCACACTCTGGCTACTCTGCTTTATCAGGTACATGGAGAGCATGTCAAACCTTGTCCTGTGTGTTTTATTTTATTGTACAGTGTGTATTTGCATGTAGTGTTGTGTGCTGTATCATATAGATGTTTTAGGACGTGGGACATAATGTGACACATGTAATGATAATGCCATGTGCTAGTGTGCTCCTGCAACTGTGACATGGCCTAGGTGTGATATGCTTAAGCACCACCTGTGAATGTGTTTAACAAGAATGAATAACCATCAGAGCAGCTATAGTGTTTTATTTTCTTGTGTTTTGTCGTTTAAGCAAATCTGTTGAGCGAGGATAGTCTACTACAGTACATGGCGGAAAATTGTTTCACTGTTGCGGCGTCGTGAGTCCTAGGTGTCTAGAAGGGGAGGTATGGTTATGGGCGGTGTGGTGTTGGAGTGGGGACAGCACCAAGCACTGTACTGTCATGGTCGGTGTGCTCGCTTCGTACTGGGTGTAACGCCTGGGGTGGGGGGCCTTCAGGGCATCACTCCGTTGTCAGTGGCGCCCAGGATAAGTGCGTAGACTGCAAATTGTTTTTATCATCACCGGGACGGCGATAAAGAAAGGGGGGGCAAATGTAGTGAGCTGGCATAAGCTCCCTAGTGAAAGTAGGGGGCGCAGTATAAAAGCCTGTCAATTGCGCTACCTTGCCTCTCCTCTATCCAACGTCACATCCGCTGCACGGGGCTCGGAGCGAGGCAGGCTAGTTGGGAGGTTGCTATGGGTCGTGTCGGGGCGTCAAGCCGGCGGCTGAGGCTTAAGGCCAGCAACTGGGTGGTGCCCAACTTTACTGCGTCGCTGGTAAGCTCCGCTCGTAGCTTTTAATTGCGCCGCTGGTCGGCTGCGTCACTAATTTAACTATTGTTTTTAGCATTGTGCGTGTTGGCCCGGCTGCCGCATAGCTGAGCATGGTCAGAGGCTCGGGGTCTCGGTATGGTGCGGGGAACGCTACACTTTGCTTTCTGGTATGTTTTGTTTTAATCTTTTGTCTGTCTTTTGTTTCAATGTAGTACATGTTTTATTTCAGTGTCAATGTTTTAATGTTGTAGGGTGCTGGCGGCGTGCCCGCCTCCCCTTCTTCTTGTTTGGACGAAATCTGCAGACGAGTCGTCTGTTTTTAAGAACTATGAATGATGCTGCTTAACTATGGACAATGACCGAGAGACTGTGGTCAGTGCGCAGACGTGCGCCCTGCGGAATCAAGATACGGAAACAAAGAACTGATGTACAGAACTTATTTATTACCACAAGCTGCTCTATTAAAAACTAAACGAGTATTGTTAAACTTCTGCCTCTGTCCAGTCAATTTAAACTTACCTGTGTGCCTTAGATCAGAGAACCAATTAAGGACATTGTTGGGTATCATATGCCCTGGCGTTGCTGGTTATACATGTCCGCTCCGTATTGCCACACAAGGATTATTTAAACCAAATTAGGCATGTAAGTAATTAAGTCACGTTTTTTTTTAGATAGCACATTTTACAGACCAAGGTCTCCGGAAGCGCTTTACAATGTTCAGAGTTCAGATAGGTTTCCATTCTCTCCACACGGTGATGACAGAAGCAAAACGCCAAACACACTAGACTAGAGCATCAAAGACCCCAACCAACATCATCCATTCACTTAAAGAAGCTATACCTGATTTTTTTGCTACTGAGTTAATAAAAATCCGTATAACTACATACAAGTTGTATTAAAAACTGTAATTTAATTGAAAACTGGAACTCATTGATTCAGCTTAAGCATGAGTTTAGGCCTTTCAAAGTGCTGAGATGACTTTTAGCAAGCTCTCCTCCACTCACAGAACGAGGCGGCGTCCTCTAGCCTCTACAGCGCTGCTCAAAACAGTAGAATGTTAGCAGAATTGGCTATAACTCCTCTTGCTGTAACTGGAGAAACAGCCCAAACAACACAACAGTGAGGAAGAGAAGAGGGAACTAAAGCAAAAAAATGATCAAAGAAGAAATCAAGCCCGGGTGAACATAGCCAACTTGCTCGGACTACATTCGGACGCGGAATATATATAATATTTCAGTTATATATTTTGTCAGCAGTGTGTTGCGTTTGTACCATTTCATCAGTGATTGTTGTACAGCTTAAGTTGCGCTAATGCTAATGTTAGCATATGTATCAGATCAAAACTAGATGGCTCCGTGGAATGAGAGCGTATGGGAAATGAGAAGCATGTGAGTGAGTTGAAGGGCGGTGTTAAACAACAACTTTAAGCCATTACATTCAGACCTATTGTACATGTTTTTAGTCTAACTCCACATAGAAAGTTCTGGAGGTAGAATCGAACACAGGTCCTTTTTGCTAAGGCCGCCCAGCATATTTAGGCAAAAGAAAAATCAATACAATATTTGGTTAATCCTATTTTTGCAGAAATAACAACCGTAAACAGGTGAATGTGTGATCACCTCATCGTGTAGAGAAGGGTTCCGTCCTCCTTCAGCCGCAGCAGTTTGTTGGGAGTTGTCATGTTGTGAGCGATGGACTTTTTCCCGTTCAGAAAGAAAGTGTCCGGAGTCCAGATGTTACTGGCCAGAAGGTTGTTGAGAGCGAGCTGCTTCATGGGACCTTTGAAGCACAGACGCTCGTCCTTCCACTCCTGCCGGAAGAACACGTCGATGGTGTACTCCTGCAAGAGACAAATATCATAAAATACTTCAAGTACTAATACTAATACTAGGTTAGAACAGCAAGACATCAGTGGTCCCCGAGATCTTGTAACCTTAGAATTATAGAGATCTATCCGTGTCCTGGGTTAGTGAGGTTTGACGGGTGAAAACATTGAATAAGGAAATATATTGTAATCATATAAATAGAATATCAAACCAAATTCTATATATATTACACATAATCCTGCAAAAATATTTAAAGATATTCAGAAGGCACCCACGTCGAAGTTACATTCTTAGCCCTGATTTCAACAATGGAATTCTATTAAATGTGTTTTTGCACTACTCTAAATCACAACAACAGTTTTCTCGGAGGACTTTACAAAGCTGTCGATTCGTCAACAACAGATCAGAGAATTAAACAGATCAAACACAAGAAATTAAAAAAATCATTGGTCCATAAGGGGTAGATGACCAAGATCCATAAATGTGCATAAATGTTGTTGAAAGTCGAGACCGTAGAGGCCGAGAGCTGACGTCACCCATAGTGTTAGTCTTAATGTTGAAGAAGCCGATTAGAGCTAACTCGAAGAGGCTATTTGACAAAGACAATATCACAATATAAACACCAGGATTGAAGAGAGCCTAAAAGTGTGACACAAACGGTTGCTAAACTAGAGGAGTTTAGTTTTACATGTAAGTCAATAAGGAGCCAGAGAGAGTTGGAGCAAAACTTTATCCATTAACACTTCCCTTTTGGGTATCATTGAGCTAGCGGGTTAGCATCTGTATACAGCCCACCACGCCCCCGCTTCTTGCAACTTTTGGACCATTTATATATTTTGTTTTGAATAAGCAAAAACTGAAACCCATGTATAGTGTCTGAAAAATATAAATGGGGAACATACCATTTCTGTGTCGGAGACTGGACCAAAACTGGTGACAAAGATGTTGGTCTTGATCTCCGTCACTTTCTCTGAAAAACATGAACATGGATCATTTGTTTATAGATGTGCATAAAATGTGTCACTGAAATAACTAAGTAACTGAAATAACTAAGTAACTGAAATAACTAAGTAATCAAGGCCAGGAAAGTTTGTTTAGCACAGTTCTCACTCAAGGCAAACTCAAAGTGCAACAAAACAAGAGAGAAACAATCACACAAGGCACTATAAAAAAGGTCCTTCCGTTTTATGCACAGCTAAACAGACCTGTTTTAACCTGGATTTGTCATTGTCAGAGAAGAAGCCTGTCTCACATTCTCATGAAGACTGTTCCAGATTTTAGCGGCATAAATCTGATTGAATGCCAGCCTATTTCAGAACAGGTACTCCCACAGTGCCAGCCATTTCTGATGATTTTTACTGATTTTTAAAGACCCACAGAATATTGTGTACTATGACTATCTGAAATCCAACACCAGATTCTAAAAGAATGGACTGTCTACTTTCATCAGCAAAAAGAATTTTGTTTATAGCTTTTTCCGTTCCCCTGTAATCCTCCGTCGAGTAGAGGGAAGTTTTACTGAAATCACCAGAAATCACCAGAAAGTTGAGAAAAAAGAGGCACAACATGTGCACCTACATGTTTTGAAACCATTCAGAGAGCAATGCTGCCACCTGCTGGCTCGATAAAATATGGTCTCAAGTCATCCCCATATATATTAGATACAATAGACATCTGGGAACGTGAAAATAGCGAAAAAGGCAATTGACGTATTAATGCGTCAATGGCACACGACGTTACTATTTGCTTTGACGTATTTGTGCGTCAATGGGACACAATGAGTTAAAAATGTCAACTTGTAAGCACAATACAATGTGATTTTTGTATTGCTACATAATTTATTGCGGATGTGTCTGTTTCTGGAAAATCTGATTTTTTGCATTGGGTTAGAATTCCAGGCAAAACAACATTCATGAATCTAGACATAAAAGTAGAAATTTTACAATAGCCCCATTTCCAACGACCTTCTTTAACCACTAACATGTCCTTCTCTAGTCCCTCTTGGTCCTGGTTCTATCCAGGCCGAGCTGGTACAAACGTTTTCTAGCTGACAGTGATTGGCCAGAGTGCTGCTGGAAGCCATGGTTACCAAGGAATTTCCCAGGACACTGTTTATTTGAGGCGGCATACAGTACCAGATACTAAAGCGTAATGGAAACACAACCAGGTAGAGAAGAGCTGAGTAGAGTAAGGCCAGGTAGGGCTGGTGGAAACTAATGTGCACTTTAGACATATATTTACTGCTAAAACAGGTCAAATTAAGTCATATACAAAAGATGGCTTTGTTTTGAATGTTACTGTATGTACTTCTCTGAGTCTTGTCTTGCACTTTTGTCCAACAACAAACATCCCACGGTCTCCTCACACAAAGCACGAGGGTTGGAGACTTAGAGAGAGACTTTTACACATGATTTCAATATTAAATTTCTTTCTTTTGTGTGTTGGGAACATCTATCAGACAAAGCAGTGCTCTTAATAAATGAGAGAGATACAGAGAGCTGCTGATTAATGAGCCTTCACTGCACGGCCGCTGATATCATTAAAAACAGCAGAATCCTGGACGGGAGCAGAGCAAGAGTGTTTCTGAGGGTTGCACCATCAAATGTTACAGAGAGAACCTGCTTTACCTCCTTGTTTGTGTGTATAAGACAAGTTGTATTCTCCTCGTTCTGAGAATATACTTGACATTTTTTGTAAGAACAGACAGATCTTGCAGTCTAATAATTTGGTATTTGATAAATTACCAAGTTACACCTGATTCAAGTTTGAAAAAGGGTTGAATGAAGCAGACGCTAGGTTGTTCCCGGCCCCTCTCCCCATTGTAAAATTGGTTTGTGTTGTTGGCCTGTCCCACTCTCATGTCTCCTTTTGTGTGTCTATACTGTGTGTCTTTTCCCAAATTATTACCATTACGAGGTGAAAATAGAAGAAGGACCCAAAATTCAAGACTGCCAAAAATATAAGATTTAATACACAAAAACTCAAGAAAAAAAAAATCCAGGCTTTAACATAATCAATCTCAAACCACGACAAAACGCAATGGACCAAAACATTTCTGTATTAACATTTATGAACAGTGGTCATCCCGCTCTCTCTATGGACCCATGGCTCCTTTGTATTTGTTATCATGACATTATTATTTTGATTTTCCGATCTGTTGTTGAGGAATCTACAACTTTGTAAAGTCCCTCAAGACGACTGCTGTTATGATTTAAGGCTGTACGAAAATTAATTGAATCGAATTTAAGTTAAGTCTGGGGATAAGGCACGGGTTAGCTCCAGTGGGGGCGGGTCCTGGCTCAAAAGTGGCCAAAATGATGTGTGCTGACATGCTTGCAATACCACCCCGGGCCGATGGGGGTGGACCCAGAAGAAGAATTAGCCAATGCTAACATATAGCATTGGCAGACCTCTCAAAAACGTCTTTACAGGATGGACAAAAAGTTGGCTCTTGGCCCAAAGCTCTGTTCCACATGTGTGTCAATGCTGAGGGGGGTGCATTTTTTTGGTCCACTCTAGTTTACTTGGTGTGAATTTTTTAAGTCTCTCGTTCAAATGAATGGAGTTGCACCGGCTGACGCATGCGCAGATGCGTTTTTTCACAATTTTCTTGTGGGCGGGACCACTCGCTGCCATTTTGGATTGCTCCAGTAGAGCACTATTTTTTGGCCCATTAGTTAGAACGGCGGAGATAGGCGTGACTCTGTCCATTAATATATACAGTCTATGGTTAGCTCACAGCGGGACGAAATACCAAGACTTAAGGGACTCCCAAGGATTTGAATGCATAGATACATTACTAATGGTTTGAAAGTAAGGAACCCCAGCTTTAAATGCGGTGAATGTTTTTTTTCAAATTTTGTCCTTACCAATGTCATTCTGTTTCGTCACCTGCTTCTGACTCGCTGAAAAGTAGAAACTACATATTCCTCTGTTTGCCCACACTTTCTCTCTGCTTTCTCCTTCCTTTCCGATGCGGCAGAGTTATTTATGCTGCGTCCGGTGGCAGAGGAGGCCCTAGTCCATTGTAAATGTGTTTTGCATTCATAGCTCATTCCTAACGTCCTGCACCAGAGAGAGCTGTCAGCCCCAAAGGACAAACATCTGCAGGACAAGCAAAGCAAAAAGCACAGCCAAACGTCCCATTCAAACTCCCACACACTCACCCTCTTATGCTAACAGCAACACAGCATTACAAAGCACTATCTCCTCCACGTCCAGGAATTGAGAACTGGCCTGGCTCTTTTTTTTTTTGTAAAACCAATCGAGTCTGTGTTAAATGGCAAAGAGAAATGTCAAGGTCACGGCCGCCGCTGTGTTCGCGCCGACGTTAAATCATCTTTAGCAGCAGCAGACAGGTGATCATGTCTCTGTCACAGGCCTGGGGTATATTTAGACACACTGCTAAATGAATGAGGCCTGGATCAGCGTTCCACATATGGACTCTAGTGCGGGTTATCTCAGGTTTTATGAGGCGGATTTGGGAAAAGGTGAGAAGAGGAACAAGCAGAGAGAGAGAGATAGAGAAAAGGTAAGTAAGTAAGTAAGTAAGTAAGCTTTATTTATATACCGCCTTTCACAGACCAGAGTCACAAAGCGGTTTACAATTGTTATTTTTTGGGCACTTGTCCTCTCACTCCACACAGAGATGGGAGCGGGGTCGCCGAACCCGAAGGTCTGCTAAAAGGTTTGCTAAATATCTATTGTGCGTCTTAGGGTGCTTTCACACCTGTTGGTCCACTAAAGTGGTTCGCTTGGGCCCTAAAGTTGTTACAATGTTGCAGTTCTCAACTAGTTCGGTTCTCATTCACACCAGTGTTTTTGCAAATGAACCAACCACTGTAGATGTTACATATTCCTACACCCATGTGGTGGCGCTGTTTACAAAATACTGTGTATTGGATGACGTATGTGACTGTGCTACTCTGCGTTTTTTGGCTATTTTTTATCATCGTTGTTTTGTGCAGAACAAATACTGTTGTTCCAGTATGTATCGCGGATTCAGCACGAGAACAATCTGCGGGTGTTTTTGACGATTCTATCATATAAAAAAACAATGTGTGTGTCAAAAAGTGAGCTACGCAACAGAGCAGGGCCATATTGAGGCCGGTCTGCGTTCTCACCAGCAGCGAACCAGACTGGAGTCCACATGGAACCACACCGAGACCAGCTCCATATGTTGGTCTCGGTGCGGTTCTTTAGTCCGGACCAAATTTAACTGGTCCACTTTCACACCTGCTCAAACGAACCGTACTTGCAGGTGTTCCAGACTCCAGTCCGCTTTAAGTGGACTAAATGGTGCAGGTGTGAAAGCACCCTTAGTCATGGATTTATAATGATATCTGGATGGGGTATTACTACCTTATAGCTGTCCCACCAACGGGCACAAGGGGCGCCCGCGGTACTGCAGACTAAATTCATGGGGTTACCCAGAAAAATGTCCCATAGAACTCAATGTAAACTAAAACAGCTCGGCCTTAGCTGACAGAGAACCCACAGTTTTCATAAAGGTTGCATTATGTCAGGATTTTACTGTCCCGTGTCCACCTGAACTTTTTTTCTTGTTAAATATCTCGGTTAATGAAACAAACTCATTTGTCTCTAATTCCGCTCTAGCGCCGCTCTGATCAGCAGCGCTCGATTGGTCTGAACTTTCTGGTTCTAGTTTGTAATGGAGCATTGAGAAAGTGTTCCAACAGAACATGCAGCGTTAAAAACTCCCAGAGCGGTCAATTTGACTGTTAGTTTGGAAGCATTACTCAGCTTGTGTTTGTCGCTGGTCTTCATTAATGTGGGACTTTTTATGTTTCTATGTGTAATTTATTTCCATGTAATTTGTTTATTGAAATATTCTTTATTTTATTTTTGAATGTGAGGAGGTTCTGCCTTAGTCGCTCTAACTCGTTGGCCTTAGTTCTTTGTTTTCCACCCGAGAAGTGACAGTTACTATGGCAACACACTGTTAACTTAGCATTTAGCCTTTCAGCAAACGGTATTCAGTTCTGTTTTCAGACCTCAATTGTTTTTTTGTGTGTTTTTGTTTTGTTTTTTTCATATTGACAACCTTTTATTGACCACATTTATATTTGTGGTCAATTGGAAGAGTGTAGAATCTGGCCTACATATTTTGTACTGTAAAACTACTAAACATGTGTTATCATTATCTAACGCCTTTGTTCTGACCCACATTGTTACAAGTTTATATGTCTTAAGCAGGCGTCATTAATATCTCAAGTTTCTTATTTTGTACCTTTTTCAAATCTAGCCAGCGTGCAGCTACTGGGAGGTGTGGCCTTATTTGAAACCTTTTTGTTGTGGTCGCTCCCATTGAATGTACAGCTCAACATGCATCCTTTTCCCTTTGGACTTTCAAACATTTTTAGCTCGGTACAAAGTGTTCTTACCTCTGGCCACAAGAGCAGCTCTGCTAATTACCACACGGCGAGATGAGGTGTTTTACTCGGCTAAAGACGTCGACGCAGCGTTCTGAAAGGCCTCGTGAGCAGCAATTAGAACCAAGCTAATACGATTGTTGCTTATAAAGGTCAGTACATTTTGGGGGTTTGGAGAAATGTGTATATTACTCGCAATGATACCAGAAGGCAGCGATTTTCAATAGAACGTTCCACCACATTGAGGTTTAAAATTTCCCTTGGATCATTTTTAGAATTTGTTTTTTCCGCATAATTAACAGGCTGCTACATTAGAGGGTTTTTTTGCTAAAGGGCAGAAAAACTTGGCAAAACACACAAAGTGATTAGATAATGAACAATGTGAGAATATCTTGAAATAAGTTTAATACTGTAGTTTGGGTTGGGTTGGGTATCACATATACTATATTACCCTACGACAGGGGTGTCCAAACTTTAGTAAGAGGGCCGACAACATGGACTTAAAACAGGATTTGGCGCATTTTGAAATGAAAAGTTTGATGTGAAGAATGAAAAATGACGTGTGACGTTGGCTAAATGACAACTTCACACTTAAAAAGGTACATCAGTTTTTCTCAAAAGGTAACCCTAACTCTGTGCCATAGAATTTTGTGACACAATGGAAAAACAAATGTAAGAATATACAAATTAATGGAATCAAGAGGTTCTGAGATTTACAACAAGGTATAACAATCCTCTATTGGCGGCGCTGAAGTTGGCTGGATGACACTATGAACTTGTGTTTGTAATCTCAATGATGTGAGCAAGGCAGAGGGCCACAATAAATGACATAGCGGGCTGCAGTTGGCCCTTGGGCCTTAGTTTGGACATGCCTGCCCTATTACTCAGTGTGTCCCAGGACAGCTGTGGCTACTGTAGTTCATCACCACAGTGTAAGGAGTGAATGAATGATGACATGTGAAGCGTCTTTGCGTGTCCTGAAAGCCGCTTTATGAAACCGATGCATTATTATTATTATTTTTATCATAATTTTGAAACCCTGAACTCTCTAATGTTTCTATGTAGCTCCCAGTTTTTGTCTTTGTTCCTGAGATGAGGTTTTGAGCGCCTTGGCCTTTCATCAGACTTTGACAGCGTTTTCTCAGTGTCAGACTCAGAATCTCCTTTTGCTGTTGTCAGTGGTGAGGAAAACTAACAAACCAGGAAAGTGCATTTTGTAGCTTTATGGTGCAACAACAACAACACAATAAAATATAGTTGTAATGAGGCGTGAGTTAAAGTCTATGCCTCATTATCTCTGCATTGTCTTTGTGTGATTTGTTTTGCGATGTACTGCACAGGATCACAATTGTTGATGTGTCGTGATGTGTCCTGTGTATTGTTGTGCGGAATGGGTGAGAGGGGGTTAGCGTCCGCTTTATCCAACCCCTTTTCAACCCTGTATGAATGAGGATCTATGGGACACTGTGTTCTGCAGGTTTGAAATAAATAAGTTATTGAATACAAAGCCACTGAAACAGACAAGATAAAAGACAAAACCACTTATACTTTTGACCCCAATCAGCTCTTATGTTTTTAAATTTGGCCCCCAACCAAAATGAGTGACACCCCTGGTCTAGGGACAGTGGTGATGATCCAGTCCAGGACGTTCAAGGACATGGACATGGATGGACATCTATAAACATTTATGGCCTTGGGTCCTCCGCCCCGTATGGACCAATGACTCTATGTGTTTTTTATAGTTCCTTATCTTGTGTTTGAACTGTTTGATTCTCTGATCTGTGTTGGCGAATCAACAACTTTAACCCTTTAAAGGTTTCCTCAACCATTTGGAAGATCTACGTATATATCGACTAGATAGTTAGAACCAAAATATACTGTACCTCTTTGGCGCATCTAACTTGGTTTTAGGCAACTTTTTTTATAAACTGCATCTCAACCATTTGGTAAAGGCCTATGATTTTTTTTTAAATAGGGGTTGAAATTTTTTTTATAAATAAATAAACTCAATTTGTTCTAAAAAAAAGCAAAAAATACATTGCTTTCTTCAAGGAATGAATGTTAAAGGGATAAGATATGATAAATCAGAATCAGAATCATTTTTATTGCCACGTAAGTAACAATAAAACTATTGATCTCACAATTGGCCTCAGTAGGGTGTGCAAAAAAGGAAAAAGATGAAAAAGAAGGATTTCTAAAGTAAATTCAGGGTAATACAAAGATAAATTGACTTAAATTGGAGAGACTGGAACAGTTAACGTGCAGTGGTAGAAGAGCCGTCCGTGGATCCAACGTCAGAAATACATGTGAAGCAACATAGAAAACAATAGGATCCCAAAGCTGCGAGAACCATTTCCCCTTCTATTCAACACATAATTCGCCGAAATCGTGTGTGTTTTGTGCGGTGCTGGTTACCTCCCAGTCCGGGGCGAAGCCGGTTGTCGTAGCCGTCCAGCAGCCCGTCCAGGATGCGAGTGAATATGGTAATGTTGTTGTTGAGCTCGGCTTCACTCGCACTTCCTGCTAGCTCCTGCGAGAGGCTGCAGCACAGAGAGAGGAAGAGAGGCAGCCATGACCACCCAGGACTCAAGCACCAAGCCATAAAGTGGATATGATAAAAGATAGAGGCCAATAAACAAATTGTGTTTATGTTTTTGCCGAGGCGCTGGTCAAAATGTGAAACGACGCTGTTTTGTCTGGGTTTCTACACACAGCACTTTATAGCACTTGAAATGCGATCTTGGGCTGTGCAAATATGTCAAATATCCTAAGCGCAATTATGAATCATTGTGGGGAGGAAATCAATGAATCAGTGAGTAGTTTAGATCCCGAAAGGTCAGTGAATCTGGGAATTATGATCTATTTGACCGAAGCAAAACCCAAGTGCTGCCCCTGGAGAATACTTCCTAAACGATGGGTTTGATTTTAAAATACTTTGTGAATACATTTTCAGTTCATTCTGCCGTCATTATAGAGTTATCTGAGTAAAACCTCTTCTCAGCGTGTCTAAGTCTACGTAAATGATTCCAAAAATGATTAATTTATTTCCAAACTGGCCGGTGAGCACCTCCTGTTAAGGGTTCTATACTGCTATAACAGCCTGAGTCCTGGATTTACAGCCTGTCAGTTCGTTGGAGCAGGTCTCTCTCTCTCTATGTGGGTCTCCCTGAGGTTTCTCTCTCTATTTACTCGGGATAGGGTTTGTTTTTGTTTTTCACTGCAAAAAGTGATGAAAAACAAGTCAACAAAAATATGCAAGTTTCGCTAAATGTATCTTAATTTGAGAACAAATTGACTGCCTTAAAACAAGATTTTACAATGGGGCAAAGCAGAATGGTCTTGTTTTGAAAAGATACAAGAAATGTCTCCTTTGGAATAAGAAAATTAAGCAACATTTCTTGATATAAGAATAAATGGCTTTGTCCCATTGGTGAATCTTGTTTTACGACAGTCAGAATGTACTCAGATTAAAAAACACTTGATTCAAACAACTATTGCCTCATATTTGATCCTTTTTTGCAGTGAACGCTATACAAAAGCCTAATTTAATATCACCTCTTCTTTGAAATAACATTAAGACGCAATAATGTATCTTTAATAGTAAAATTATAGCTGTAGCAAGTTGAATAAGTCACTTTCTTGATTCTATCTCCATGCGGCAGCTCAGGACCTTTCATTTTAATGTGGATTTGTGAGATTTGTTTTGCTTTCTGGTATTCCCCTGCCCTACAGAGCTCATAAAACAGACACAAAGTCGGTCTGACGTGATGTTTTATTGCGATACATCTCGGTTCTAACCCATTAAATCGTGTTGCGTGCATCAGTTCTCACCTCAGTCGGCAGGTGATGCTCAAAAGCAGCGCGCGGATCCACACTCGTCTCATGGTCACGGTGCTGGGGCTCTTCCCATTGTCCATCCCTGAAACGCAGACAGCACTTAGAGAATCCGATACAAGATTGAATTACTTTGACTGCCTATGCATGAAATTAACCACCGCTGTTACAATGCAGCCACACAGGGTCTTTCTGCAGTCTATAATGTGGGCCGAGATCTCACAGCGAGGGAAGGGAACGTTTTTAGAGGGTTTGAGAGATGAGAATAAAGTCCAATTTGGGAATGTACTGAGGCAAAAAGAAAGAATTAATGAAAGAATGAAGGTGCGTTTGGTCCCATCAAATCACAGTATATAATCTATTCCGTTGCAAATAATCTGTCACTGTAAAACATGATAAAATATGAGGTATAAATGCTAGAATCAAGTGTATTTTATCTTAATCTGAGTAAATTCTGACTGTAAAAACAAGATAATGGGACATAGCCATTTAGCCATTTTAGGGAGACATTTCTTGTATAATTTTAAAACAAGATCATTTTGCTTTGTCCCATTGGCAAATCTTGTTTTAAAGCAGTCAGAAAGTGCTCAAATAAATATACGTTTAGCCAAATAGTAGTAATTTTTTCAACTTATTATTCATCACTTTTTGTGCAGAAGTCTTGACTCTATGGATTATGGATTTAACCAGAGAAAACTAGAGAATCTCCATTGAAAGACCAACCAATCACTGTCCACAAGTATTAAGCAAATGGAGAACTCGGTTTCTCACTTTTTCCCGCTGTTTTTTTTCCACTATGGTGGTCCAGGACAACAAGGTCATTCATGATAATGTAATGCAGACCACCGCTGTAAAAACGCAGCCACAGAGGGTTTTTCTGCAGTCATTGTTGTGGGCGAGATCTCACAGCGAGCGCAGGGAAAGTTTGAGACGGTTTGAGAGAGAGAAAGGTATTAAACAAGTCAAATTTGGGAACGTACTGAAGCGAAAAGACCAGCACTAAATCAATGTTGCGCAAAATAACATCAGCTTTTCATGTGTTTCAAATAAGAATCAAATACAGCACATATGAAGATTTAATACTTGTGCTAAAGTTATAGATTTTATGTTATTTTAGTGTAGAATGCAGAGTTATTGTTCTTTTATCTTGTGCTGTGTGCGAAATTGAGGATTTACCCGCATAGCAAATTAGGAGAATCTCCATTGAAAGACCAACCAATCACCATATATAGGCAAATGGATGATGATGGATGTCTAGCCATGCCCGTAATGAAGAAATTAAAACAACAAAACAAAATCTGATCCGCAATCTTTATAATGGACAGATTTTGGAGAAATGCAGTCTTTGGCAGAGTCCTTTATTGGCACAAACAAACTTGCTTCATAGGATGTGGTTCATTTGAACACCTCCTGATAATCAATAATACATCAATCACAACGAAGAGCTGCCCAGTGCTGGAATACACACACGCACACACACACATACACACACACACGCACACACACCCTCCATATAACTCACTATGCATTGATTTTAGAGTGGTGACAATGGACTATACTGAGAACCAATCCCGAACCAAATACATCTTTCTACATTGAATGTGATTTTTTAGTTTTTTGTTTCACGTATTGTTGTATGAATCCACAAACTTAAATCCACATATTAGCAAATTGCAATGGAAAGCAAATCAGCAGCTTGAAGTTTATCCAAGAACCTACCCCCCATCACCCCCACCCCCTAGACTTGAGCCATTACAACAGGACTCCCATGCAGCTCCAAAAAAAAAAAAATCCCCTTTGCATCACCACCACCGGCTCTGTCCATAACCTCACCCCCCACAGCCCCACATGGACCCTCACCCGGGTGTGCGTCTTCCCAAAGTGTCCACGCATCCCCCCCACACGCATCCATGACTCAGAGCTCGTTCATTACCGTCAGAAAGAGCGCGAATATAGCCCCATATGACCCTCGCAATATACGTCTCTCCTCCATCCCCACAAACGCAAGCCTCTGCACAGTCCAAGCGCATCTCGCCCAGAGCGTCAAAAAAATAAACAAAAATAACAAAAATCACGGCTTACCACACAAGAAGGCGATGCTCTTCTATAACTTCTCTCACACACACAGATGCGGCTCTCTCTTCTCTTCTAATGATCGCTGGACCCGCGCATCAAAGCGTGAGGCTCGGCTCCTCCATCGGTGATTGCGTATCGGTGGGGGAAAAGCCTATAATAATTACACTGTCCGCTCGCATTTTTTGTTGGTCCAAAACGATTAAGCGGCTGGCGAGAGAGAGGAGAGAGGAGAGATGATGAGGAAGAGGAGAAGGAGAAGGAGGAGGAGGTGGAGGGGGGGGACCGCGATCCTCCACACTTGTGCTGACCAAGTCTCAAAGGGAGGCGAGCGAGAGAGCTGAGCAAGAAATTTGGAATCAGGAGGACAGACAAATCCAAATATATTCCAGAAAAGAAGAAAAAAAACAGAAAAAAAAATAGTGCGAATTGTCTTAATGTAATGCGTGGAGCAGAGAGAGGAGCAGGACCGTGGTCACGCAGCCAAAGAAGATCCAAGAGCAGTGATGGAGCGGAGGAGAGAGGCGCACCAGGATGGGAGGGGGTGGAGGAGGAGAGGAGAGAAAAGTGGTCCAGAGTATAGTTATAGAGGCTGCAATAACACCAGCGCAATAGTGGCACAAACAGAGGAGGGAGATTGTTGTTATGTGAGATAGAAATGTATTTTCTCTGCAGTTGTGAGATAGATACAGTAGGTTTAGGTTTTTTTTTTTTTTCTACAAAGGGTCAGGAAAGCAGAGTCTATTGATATTCAGCAAGAGGCTCAGTTGCCATTTTGACAATTTTAGAAACAAAATATGGGGCTTTTCTGTTCATTTAATGATTTCATCTGGTTTTCTGTACCGTGGATTGGAAGTGGTCTGACGGCTCAAAGACTGGGATTATGACTATTTTTGTGTTTCTTGTTTTGTAAACCATGATCCTTCAATTGTTCAATAAAATATATCTTTCTTGCCAGTTTTTACTTTTTTCTAATCCAATCACTACGGTATAAACTCAATCCTATAGCAATGCGTGTTCTTGGGAGTCTGTCCAATCTCGAAAAGGCCAGTCCTGCTTCTAATATATAGCTGCCCTGGACTGGTCCTCTGGTCTCAAACTGCTCTCGGACAGGTCTTGGACTGGTCCTGAACCGGTCTTGGACTGGTGCTGGACTGGTTTTTGACTGGTCTCAAACTACACCTCAGACCGGTCTGGACTGGTCTTGGACTAGTCTCGGACTGGTTTGGGACTGGTCCTTACTGGTCCTTACTGGTCCTGGACTGGTTCTGGACTGGTCTGTGTTCTTGTCCAAAGTGAGTAAAGGTAAAAAAAGTAGAAACATCTAAATTTTTTGGGGGTGAAAACTGGTAGGAAACTAAACACTTTTGGGGCAATTTCTCAAGATTCTGTTGGTTTTAAATGGGAGCGGTCAAAATGACATATAATAATGAAATGTCATTTTACATAATCTCAACGACACGCCTCCTGAGTGACGCTTCCTCTTTGTTTTTGCAGGAATGCTGTCGACGGGAACAAAAAGCTCTACGCCATCTATGACACGAGGTAAGACTCTGATACTTTCATTTGTGCTCATCAGACCCTGTGTCTTTTTACCTTTTTCGCCGAACAGGAAATTAACAAACAAGGAATAAGTTGTAGCGTTCACAAGTGGAACACAGAATATTAAACTTTCTTTCAAAAGTGAATGTATTTCTATAGTTCAACTTAAAACCAAAATAAGACTCTGTAAATGTAAAAAAATATTTTTGTGATATTTCATCAAGCCGTGAGCCAATTATCAACACCACAACAAATAAAGCTAGTTTTTTTAACTAAATCTGAACCGCTGCCTCCTCATGTTTATTCCTGACTGGGCACCAGAAACACAGTTTAGCGTGACAGAATAATATACCATTTGGACTGTTTGAGCCTGAAGCTGCCTCAGTGTGACCTCAGAGGCCCCTGCTTCAGAGAGGACGGGCCGGGTGTGACATCACCGCAGTGTTAGCCGAATGCAGGAGAAGCCGATTTGAACACATGCTAGCTGGAGCCAATTTTCATTATACAGGCATTTGTTTAATCCGGGTTAGCTTTGCATCATAACAGGGCCAGCTGTGTTGCTAAGACGGTTGCTATGGCAAATTGGGGTTTACCCGATGAATGAAGGCCTCTGATTGGTCAATGTCTCAAGACAAAATCACAATATAAACACCAGGACACAAACAGTTCCTGAACTAGAAAAAATTCCTTTTACATGTAAGTCAATAGGAACCAGTTGGAGCAGTATTTTTTTCCCTCCTTCATAAGATAATATTAGAGAATCTTTATTCGTCCCACAGTAAGGAAATGTCGGGGTTGCACTGCACATATAAATGTATATTGTAAAAGTGATGAAAAAAGACCACAATTGCTCAATTTTGGCTAATTGTATGTTAATTTGAGCACATTCTGCCTTAAAACAAGATTCGCCAACGGGACAATGGGCAAAATGTTTCATATTTTTAAAATATACAAGAAATGTTTCCCTTGGAATGAGAAAATAAACAGTTTTTGAAATAAGACTAAATGGCTTTGTCCCAAATTGGCAAATCTTGTTTTAACACAGTCAGAATGAACTCATATTAAGATAAAACCGCTCTTTCATTTATTTGCACTACATATAGTAGTAAGAGCATACAAGGAGCACACAAGGAGCACAAAAACTATACATAGGTAAGTGCTTCTTAAATGTGGCTTTAGGGACTGAAGTATAGGCATGTAATACACTATTGGACAGTGAATGTATACCTGAATGTATTTGCCTTGTTTGAAGGGAGTTTGAATCCGCTGGGAAGAGAGACAAAGCTTTGATACCTTCACCCTGCTGATATCAATAAACATGCTTCAATTGTGTTCAGTTATTGTGGCATGGTCCTGGCCACTGATCTAGCTCTAAACAAATCTTCTTGTAAAAGAGGTTCTTATCTCAGTGGGACTTTCCTAGTTAAATAAAGTTATATATATATATATAACTTTATTTAACTATATATTATTTTTAATTACAGCATACAATAAATATGTATATGTATATGAGCCAGGACTTCTATAAAAAAAAATTGATATTAAAAACTATATTGACCAGAAATATCACATTGGAATACATGCGCAAAAGTGTTCCCCGTGTGCACCAGACAAGTAAATAAATTAAACAACCTAAAAAGTATAAGAAACAATTGTGAAAGGAATCCAAAGTAGTTCTAATACAAATCAAGATCACTAAAGTGCTTTGTTCAGACTGATAACAAGAAAGAAGCGTCTCAGCCAACAATATCTTCTGCCAGAGGGAAGAAGCTGGAACATGGCTTTTTTAGGTGCCAGAAGAGTCATGATTATTGGAAGAGCTCGGTATAAGAGTCTGGATTCATAAAAAAAAACCTCCAGAACGGGCAGACCTCCCTCAAATGCAGCCACAATCAAGGTTAAATTCCATCACATGCATTTGACGGGTATTATTCAAAAGTTGTCGCTTCACAAACAGAAAGTTATCTACCTTCCCCTTGAGTGTAGCTGCATTACGCATGCGCACACCTGCAGCCAAACCTGTGGATCACTCTTCATCACGATGCAGCGCTGTTTCGGTTATTATTAAAAAGGGGCGTGTGAAAGAAACTAAAGCCGCTGCCATAGAAACACAGAGTAAAAGCCATGAGGAGGATGGAGACCGGGGCCAGTGCGCAGCCGGTCCTCCGCGCTGGCTCCCTCGGCTCCTCTCCCTCTGAGCTTGGCACCATGCGGGCGCGCTCGCACTCACCTCTCCATTCGCGCGTCTGTTGAGCTGTGGGTTACCGGGAGAGAGACGCACACGCACGGCCAGGGGGGGCATGGCGCTCTGGGACCTACTTTACTGGGCTCTAACGCTCGCGGTGGTGATGTGTCTCTCCCAGAGGTGAGATGGAAGTGCGTCTCTTTCGTGTTGTCTAATATTTACATGTGTCTTACGTGTTGTGTTGTCTGTGGGGAGTTTTGCGTCGCGTCAAAAAGTCTGGATTCATCATCGGGGATAGTTCATGTTTTGATTTTGTGTGTTTTTTTTGGTTTTTTCAGCGTCAACGAACCCGGGAATATGTCCTTTGTCAAAGAGACTGTGGATAAATTGTTGAAAGGGTACGATATTAGGCTTCGACCGGATTTTGGAGGTGAGCCAAGCTTCCTCTGCACCTGTGCCCTACGCGAAAGTTTTTGTGTGTGAATATTCTAACCCCTTTATCTCTTTTTCTTATCCTTTTATAATTCTTTGTGTTTTGTTCACGTGCGCGCCCAGGTCCTCCGGTGGCGGTGGGAATGAGCATAGACGTGGCGAGTATAGATATGGTGTCAGAAGTCAATATGGTGAGTGCTTTGTCTTAATTTGTAAAACTTGTGATTATTAAAATGTAGCCTATAATCAACGCAGTGTTTTTACATTTGTTAGTGAAGAAAAGCCATGGTGTTTGTTGTGTGTGTATTACTGCAGAGTGTGTGTGTTTGTGTTCACTAACTGTCGCCAAATGATCCTGTTTAAGGGTCACACTCCAATTCTCATAATCGCACAAATACACACACACACACCCACACACCAATACATACACACACACACACACGCGCGCGCGCACGCACGCACGCACAGACACAGACAAATACATACACATGCAGACCCACGCACACATACACACACACATACAAATACATACACACGCAGACGCACGCACACATTTACACATACACACAAACAATTAAAGACACACACACAGACACGCACACTTCTTCTATCTCACATTTTCAAACTACACACAGTCCAAATAACAGTACTCTTCTTGTGTCTCTGATTCCTAAATAATGTATTGAAAACACACACATCTGGAGCCTTTGAGACAATGTGTGTGTGTTTTGCTGTTGTATGTGGTGTGTCTTTTGTTTGTTACTCGTTTGACTTGATGATGTGTTGCTGCTTTGTATTAAATGGTTATTTTAATGGAACATATAAACTAGATGTCACATAAGGCAGATGTCAGATGCAAATATGAGCAGTCAGTGGGCACAGAATGGACGTCAGGTGTTTGGAAAAAGAACAGAGCTCCTGCAAGTTTAAGTTTTGCCAATGGAAACTTTAATTTGTGTAACTTGGATTGTACGCTTTGTTAGCATTTCTGAGCTATCCATCCATCCATCATCCATTTTTCTTCCATTGAATCCATTTCTGGGTCAGGGGGGGGCAGTCAGAGATGCCACCATGTCTCATAGCACCAGCCCTCACTGACTCTGCAGGTGGTGAGTCCACAGAGCTGAGTTCTTCCTAGTGGGGGCTTTGGGCAAGTGGGGTTAGTGTCTTGCCAAGGACACAACGACAGCAGTCATCCGTGGGAGTCGGTGGAGAAGGTGCAGAGGTGGGAATTGAACCCACGACCTTGGCCTAAGTCCATGCTTACAACTGAGCTACTGTCGCCCATTTTTTCTGAGCTAGTCTTACTCAAAATACGAGCATCGTCATGGACAGAAATGGATTAGAGTGGACAGTTTATAACGCTAATGCTTTTACAATCTCCATGTTTGTATTTTTCAACATTCTTAGATCAGTCTCTAGTTTCAGTTCAAGCATGAGTTTCTCTCTCGAACTGTAATCCAACAAAGGAATTCTTGGTCGAGCAAAGGCATAAGATTAAAGTCCAGGCTAAAAATCAATCAAAATGTTATAATAAAATACATGTGTTTTCTATAGTGCTTTATAAGTTTCTCAAAGATGCTTCACATGTCAGTATCCACTCACTCCATACACAGCGGTGATACATTACTACTGTAGCCACAGCTGCCCTGGCGCAGACTGATAGAAGCAAGGCAACCAGTATGTACCATCGGCATGTTCTAAGCAATGTGAGTGAAGTGTCTTGCCAAAGGACACAACAATAGATCGGCACTTTACAGCCGCAAACACCCCACTGTGGCACCTGGTGTTCCCAGAGGTCTCCCATCACAGCACTAACCAGGCCCTTACCTGCTTAGTTGCATATGTCTGACAGAATCTGGCTTACATCTGCAGGTAACACCTCAATATACAATATGTTAAATATGTATCAAAGTCAAACTAAGTCTTAAGATTTTAGACATGAATCAATCACTTCTCGCAACTTGTCTAACTTTTCACCCTGCTTCACCGCCTGCTGCTGCTGATGATTTGCGAACAATCACGCTAAAATATGAGGTCACCAAGTTCCCCCTGTGCCATGTTCAATTCTGTTCAACCTGGGCCCAAACCAATCGTGTGTGGCACCAGAGGCGGGGGCTGCCACTGGACACTTTAAAGTCTCCGTGGCATCTATCACTGGGACAAAGTGCTGACGTGGGCTGTGGCCAGTGGCGTACGAGCAGAGACGGTTCTCTCCCCTCACGCGTTTTGTCCAGACCAATGTGATGAAATGTACCCGCGGTGAATTATAATGCTCTCCACTCGGCTGGTGAAGCTGGTGGTTTGGTTTTCATATTTAATAATGAGCACAGGAGTAAATTAGCTTCTCTGGCAGCGGCAGGAGCGGAGAGAACTTTGCATTATTGTTGTGGTTTTGTCCGGACTTCTCTGACTCCGGCACAGTACGGAAGCAAGTATCAAATCTCTAACTTTAGCATAATAAAAAAACAAGTATAATATCTATAACTTTTGCAGTAATAAAGAAGCAAGAATCAAATACAGTATTTTCAAGTGCAATAGATATATACAGTACTTGTATGTATGTGTACGTGTCAATAGAGCTAAAATATGTGTATTAAGCTCTTTATTTGTATCAGCGTCAAAATTATACAAATATCTGATCTCGTTTTATGCCTTACAATACAATACAATTTATTCTTGTATAGCCCTAGGTCACAACAGAAGTCATCTCAGAGGACTTAACAAAACCATTGAAATCACCAACACAGGTCAGAGAATCAACAGTTAAAACACATGAAGAATATAAAGCACATACAGAAGAAAATGTCCATACATGTTGTAGAATGCTAAAGTGTCCTGATCATCACCAATCCTTTCTGTTGGACACTAACTGTCCAACAAGACCCTCCTGCATCGACAAGGAAAAACTCTTAAAAAACCCAGTGGGAAAAAGTGAGAAACCTTGGAGGAGAACTAGGGAAACCCACAGGGAGGGAGACCCATATGAGAAAGGGATCCGCTCCTCCGGACGGACAGGCTAATGATCTAGGACCTAAGCTAGCTACAGAACGTGGACCAGTGGACGCTGAACGTGGACAGGTCCGGTGCAGGACTGAAGCACTCCCAGGCGGGTCGGGCGGGGCAGTCCGCAGGTGTAGATGGAAGAGGCCAGGCTCAGAGATCCCGTCATCGTACCATGAAACAGACAATGGGACAACGGGTGAATAGCAATGAACAAACTACAGTCAGAATCCTAAAAATGCTAAACAGATAAAGTAGGAAGGAGGAGAGGATAGTGCTCAAGTTACCATACTTCTCCCAGCAAACTGACTCCCTATGCAGCTTGACTGACACTCTGAGGAGTTTAACCTTCTCCGAGTCTTACCTTCCTAGCCATATGCTAAACTAAAGAGGACTGTTTTAAACCTAGCCTTGAATAAAGAATAACATACAGCATAATATATAACATAATATACAACATAACACAATACATTATTGAATAATATATAACATAATATATAACATAATACAGCATATATATATAATATATACACTACATATTATATATTACCTAATTATATGCTAAATTAAAGTAAAGTGCTTTAAGCCTGGCCTTGAATGTGGAGACCGTATCTGCTTCCTTAACATAAATGGGAAGCTGATTCCACAGTAAAGGAGCTTGGTAGCTAAATGCTCTGCCACCAACAGTGACCTTTGAGACCTTAGGGACCACCAGACGTCTGGCGTTTTGTGAGCGCAACGCTCGACCTGGTTGATACGACACTAACGTGTCTTGGAGATAAGAGGGAGCCAAGCCATTTATGGCTTTATATGTTAAGAGTAGGATTTTAAACTTTATTCTGTACTCCACAGGGAGCCAGTGGAGTGATTTTAACACCGGAGTTATGTGCTCCCTCCTTTTGGTACCTGTTAAGATCCTAGCTGCTGTATTCTGAACGAGCTGGAAGCTCTTCAAAGAGGCTTTAGGGCACGCTGCCAGTAAAGCGTTACAGTAGTCGAGCCTTGAGGTGACAAACGCGTGAATGAGTTTTTCCGCGTCACTTTTAGGAAGGAAATTCCTAATTTTAGCGATGTTCCGTAAGTGGAAGTACGCCGTTTTAGTTGCTTGGCTTATATAAGCCTTGAAGGAGAGTTCTTGGTCAAAAATGACTCCAAGATTCCTCACAGTGTTACTGGGTATTATACTGACATTATCGAGAGTAACCATCTGGTTAGTGAGGGAGTCACGCAGGCGCTTCGGACCGAGTAGGATCACTTCTGTCTTCTCCGGGTTGAGAAGTAGGAAGTTAAGAGTCATCCACATTTTAAGGTCCTTTATGCAGGCACTGAGCTTTTCTAGCTGATCTGTCTGGTTAGGCTTCATCGACAGATAAAGCTGTGTGTCATCTGCATAGCAGTGGAAATTAATTCCATGCTTTTTAATAATGTTTCCCAGTGGCAGCATGTAGAGAGTAAAAAGAATCGGTCCGAGTACCGAACCCTGCGGCACACCGAATTCCACTCCAGAATAAGGCGACGAGTCCTGATTCACATTGACGAAGTGATATCGATCTGATAAATAGGATTTAAACCAGCCAAGGGCTGTTCCTCTAAGACCTATATCACATTCTAGCCTCTGCAGTAGAATGCTGTGGTCTATTGTGTCAAATGCAGCACTAAGGTCCAGTAGGACCAGCACTGACACTTGTCCATTATCGGCAGCTAGTAGTAAGTCATTTGTGACTTTGACTAGTGCCGTTTCAGTGCTATGATGAGCTCTGAATCCTGATTGAAAGACTTCAAACATATCATTTTCCTGCAGGTGGCAGCGGAGCTGCTCAGCTATAAGTTTTTCCAGGATTTTAGATATAAAAGTGAGGTTTGAGATCGGTCTGTAGTTTGTAAGTATTTCTGGGTCCAGGTTTGTTTTCTTCAGAAGGGGTTTGATTACCGCGGTTTTAAAAGCTTGTGGGACATAGCCACATTGTATGGATGCGTTTATTATATTTACGATAGGCTCAATTATCAAAGGAAGTATGTCTTTGAAGAGCCATGTCGGGACTGCGTCTAACATGCAAGTTGAGGCTTTTGAGGATGTGACCACAGAGATCACCTCTGCTTGGCTCACAGCCATGAATTTATCAAGGCCCACTGAAGAGTCTAAGTGGGAAGTCACGTATGCCGCTTCAACCTGTCCACCACTAACAGC